TTTTCATAAAATTTCCCTGAAAAACATTGAAATTAGATCTAAATTGGTGTTATTTTTATCTTTTTATTAAAAAATGATGTTTTTTCTCCAAATATCTAAATGCTTGATTATTTAAATGATTCAGAAAATATGATAAATATTTTATGACCCGCCACTGGACGGAATTTTCGTTACTATGACGACTTTCATTTTTACAACTTGTTACTATAGTTACTGTATGTATTTCCATAGCAACAATACAAACTTCCTGACATGTGCGACTCGTTTAGGATGAAAAAAAGGGAAGACATTTGTTAAACACATAAAAGGATTTTCATAGACGTAACAAAAACTAAATTAGGTTGAAAATTACTTTTTTTGAGCGTTTTTGCACGCTTTCCGAGAAATTTCGCTAAAAAATCACCAAATTTGGTCGAAAATAGTGTTACTTTTACTTTTTTAGGACATTTTTGGTCCAAAGTCCAAAAAAATCGTTAAATTAAGTTGCAAATGATGTTATTTTGTTGTTTTTTTCAATGTAAAAACTGAGTTTTTGCTTTTTTTTTTTGTTAGTTTTAGGACACTTTTCAATCAATATTGCACTTTTTTTTAAGAAATTAGGGTCAAACAATTCGAAAAATTATCAAATTTTGCTCGATTTAGGTCAAAAACAACAAGAAAAGCACCAAAACAATACAAACTTCCTCACATGTGTGACTCGTTTAGGATGAAAAAAAGGGCTTAAATTAGAAAACTTACAAATGAAAGTTTTTTATTAAATAAAATGATTTTTTATTGAAGTGACAAAAAACCAAATTAGGTCGAAAATGACTTTACGGTCGTTTTTGCAGGTTTTTCGAACCAAATTTGGTCGAGAATGTTGTTAGTTTTGCTTTTTTAGGACATTTTTGATCCAAAGCCCAAAAAAATCGTCAACTTAAGTTGCAAATGATGTTATTTTAGTCGTATTCAATGTAAAAACTGAGTTTTTTCACGAGATTTCACCAAATCATGGCGAAAAATTAATAAATTATGCTGAAAATGACATTATTTTTCTTTTTTTTCGACCGTTTGGCACACTTTTCAGTCAAAAACCTACTTTTTTCAAGAAATTAGATTCGAACAAATTAGTTAATTAATTAATTAATTTTGCTCGATTTAGGTAGACTTTGTTAAAAAATCACCACATTGGATTAAAAAGGACATTATTTAGGATCGATTTAAAACTTATATTTTTGTCTTTTTATTTTTTTCAAACATCAGAAAATATTTAAAAAATCATGACCCGCCACTGGTTGAACGATTTTCATTTTTGCTACTTCTTGTTACCATAGTTACCATAGATAATTCTATCCGTTTCCATAGTGACAATACAGACTTTTACCATGTGCGACTCGTTTAGGATGAAAAAAAGGGGGTTTTAATTAAAAAAAATAATTCTTTTTTGTAGTCTTTAAAATACTCGTTTCAAACCAACGACCGGCTGTGTTTCGTCATGGAGTACGTGAATGGGGGCGAACTATTCTTTCACTTATCCCGCGAACGGGTCTTTTCCGAGGATCGAACCCGATTTTATGGCGCTGAAATAATCTCAGCTTTGGCATATCTGCATTCGCAGAATATAATTTATCGAGATTTAAAATTAGAGAATTTATTATTGGATAAAGATGGGCATATAAAAATCGCCGATTTTGGATTATGTAAAGAGGATATAACATATGGAAGGACAACTAAGACGTTTTGTGGAACACCGGAATATCTCGCACCGGAAGTTTTGGAAGATATTGACTATGGAAGAGCCGTGGATTGGTGGGGGATCGGAGTTGTGATGTATGAAATGGTAAGTGACGGCTACATGTTGGGCGCCAAAAAAAAAAAAAAAATTCCATGTTGGGCGCCAAATTTTTTAGATGGTTGGACGTCTACCGTTTTATAATCGGGACCATGATGTGCTTTTCCAATTGATACTAATGGATGAGGTTAAGTTTCCGCGAAATTTAAGTTCCGATGCTAGGGATTTGTTAGGGGGGCTTTTGGTGAAGGATCCAGCGAAGCGACTTGGAGGTGGTCCTGATGATGCAAAAGAGATAATGGCTCATCCGTTTTTTAGTTGCATCAATTGGAGGGATCTTGAACAGAAAAAGGTATAATTTTGAGATATACAGGGTGGTCTGTATAAACCCAACATTAAAAGTATTATTATATTTGTTTGAAAATTGGTGCATAGCCATAATACATTAAGTCCTCCTAAATGAAAATATTTTCAAAATGGCGGCACTTCTGGTTATAGCGGAAGTCGGTCTCAACTTTCTTATTTTAAATGGAAAGGTATATTTTTTACTGCGTTTTTGGATTAATCGAGTTATTTTAAGGGAGTTTTCATTAGCTTTCCCTATACCTAAATTTAGCCGTTTTTGAAATATTTTGAGTTTTTCAAAAAATTTTGGATCTGCATCTTACACTTTAAAAATCGGTAACTCTGTTATTTTTTAAGATTTTGAATTCGTTTTTTTGGCGTTTGAAAGAGAAAGTTTAGATCTTTCTTCCGGTGTTTTCAAATTTTGAAAAAAAAATTAACAAACCATGAAATTTTAAGGTTACTTTTGTAATTCAAATAGCCATAACTCAATTTTTCCAAATGAAATACCCCAATTTTTTTCTATAAAGTGGAAGAGAATTTAATTCTGCATCGATCTGTATTAACATTCCCTATACCTAAATTTAATAATTTGGACAAAAAACAAATAAGAAAAAAGCATTTTTTTGTTCTTTTTTTTCTTTTCTATTACCTATTTATCTAAATTTGAGAGAAATTTGCCCAAACAACGCAAACAATTTCAAAAGTGAAATGCGTTATTTTTGTTTCTTTTTAAAAATTCAAAGCATTTTTTACATAGAAATTCACAAAATTCGAGAAATTAACTAAAACAAGGCAGAAAATTGCGAAACTAAATTTAGAAATGGGTTTTTTCTTATTTTTAGAAATCCAAACCGTTTTTTTTTAATTTTATTGAAATTGAAAAATATCGTTAAAATAACACCAAAAATTGCAAAATTAGGTGAAAAATTTGTTTTTTTTATTAAGTTTTGGAGTGTTATAAACAATTCCTAGAAAGTTTGTCAAAGCAAAAAAGAAAATTCTAAAAGTATGTCTAAAATAGCTTAATTTTAATTATTTCGACAAATTTTTAGCACTTTTCATCGAAACATTTTTTT